TTAACTGTAATCGAAGGAGATTACCTCGGAAACAGCGTCAGCATGAATACTAAATTAAAGCCAATCGACTACTGGTCAAGAGGAATCCGCCGTCGTCTTCTGGTGGAATCGACCTTTGAATCTCTTCACCCAACACTTTCACTCGAAATGGAAGTAAGCACAACAATTAGGATGCAAGAGATTCCTCGAAACCCAACTTTTCTTTGCATGAAATGTCTATTCACTTGATTGCCATTCTGTCCGGCATACTCCAAATACGTTAACTGTTTACCGAGGGTTTTGGACACTTGCCGAAATGGCACAGTTGCAACCCATTTCATCTTAAGTGGGTATAGATGAGGAAAACTTTTCCCTCGGCCGGGAATCAGCTGAATTTTGATTGGGCTGTGACTCCGGATAGGCAGTTTGGATGATGTTTCATAATGCTCTAGATCCCATATCTCATGCTAGGGTTTGGGCATACCAGGGCATGTCAAATAGTGTTTCAAGAAGGCCAAACAAGCCAAACCAAATTCGACTTCATCGCAGGAAATCCGGTGAAGAAGCATCCAAGCCGGGCCATCCTAGTCCGAGGTGCCTTGACTGGTATCGTTTTTCCAGTCGCCTCTGAGGGCAAATCCTGTCTCTGAGGGGTCTTCAGGCAACTGACCTGTCCTTAAGGCCATTTTAAGGCATTAAAGTATAGTTTACTTACACAACATGAAGCAATAAGATTGCCAACATAGTGTTTACTGACTAAAATACACCTCACATGTTGCGAGTAAACCATTCAACGGAGTTTGAGCCCAATCTACTGGTTCAGAGGCAGAAGCCCACCGTTGCACATAGAAACGAACTCTCCGCTAAGCTTATATGTTGGTAACGTTTACCCAGTCTCTAAAGGAATGCCCCACTGGAGCCGGGGGATCTGGAAACTGACGAGTTTGCTCTCAAATCTGTACATGCTGGGGTTAATTCCGGCAGGATATGGCGACCGCTGTTAAATCTGGATAGGAATGTAGAACAGATGAGTGTCAACATTGTGGCATAATATCTCTGAAAATAATTTATGTGAGATTAACTCTAGTTATCCTGGCAACTGAATTCGACCTGAATACGGTGTTACCTTGAGCCAAGTGGAATCTGATCTCGAGTTTCTATAAATAACTTCTGAAAGCGTAGACTCAACCCGACAGAACATACACATGCACACACACATTCTTGTATGTGAGCTGCTCACTCGGCTTATTAGGTCGTAAATGATTCGGTTCAACGGGCCAATGTTTGGTGAACGTGTCGAAAGTTAAAGTCCAATGTGGTTTGCGAATCAATTGACTATGGGACGATTTTAATTCTGGTCTTGGAGTGTCTGATAGTCACATCTTTATGGAACGGTTGATGAGTACAAAGAACGGCCGATGAAATGATGATACCTGCAGCCTGTGCTGGAGGGCCAAGTTTTCTGTACCTCATATCCCATGTTGTCCTATTCTCCCATCTGCTGGCCGCTTTGAAGACGCCTACTGACCTCATCACGCTGTCTCCAATGCACATATTTCAGAACGAGCGAGGGATTAAATACCCAACCATCACGGCCGAATATGTTGGGGACATCCTCC